CCTAGACTGCTTATCTCAGTTTTCATTTTCTTATACTCACTGTTGTAATCCAAAACATGTCTGAGACAGGTCTCAATCAACTGAGGGGTTTATTTTGCCAAAATTAAAGATCATGACCCATGACACAGCCTCAGGAGGTCCTGAGAACATGCGCCCAAGGTGGGTGGGTTACAGCTTGGTTTTGTACATTTTAGGGAGGTAGAAGTCACAGGCAAAGATGTAAATTAATACATGTAAGGTATACATTGGTTTGGCCCAGAAAGGTGGGACAGCACAAAGGGAGTGATGGGGTTACATGTCATAGGTGAATTTAAAGACTTTTCTCACTGGCAGTTGGTAGACAGAGATTAATTATTATATAAAGACCTGGGATCAATAGAAAAGAGTGTCTGGGTTAAGATAAGGGGTTGTGGCGACTAAGATTTGTATTATGTAGATGAAATCTCATATGTGGCCATCTTTAGAGGCAATAGATGGCAAATATTTCCTAGTCAGATAGGTAAAAGGTGCTAGACTCTCAGCTAATCTCTTCAGGATCAGAAAAGGACTTGGGAAGGAGATTCTATACAGAATGTACATTTCCCCCACAAAAGAAGCTTTGCAGGGCTATTTCAAAATATGTCAAAGAAATATATTTTGGGGTAAAATACTTTGATTTCCTTTTAGGGCCTGCTATTTGTTATGTGATATATGTGATGTTATATACCAAAGTCAGGTTGGAGTTGGTATCTTATTGCTACAAAAAGAGTTTGTTTTGTCAGTCTGAGGATCTTTATTTTAATATTGGTTGGTTGTGTGCCTGAACTCCAAAGGGAGGAGAGTATAATAAGGCACATCTGACTGCCCCCCAACCCCTGCCTGTTCCCATGATGGTCTGAACTAATGTTTCAGGTTTCATTGGGTCCCTTTGGATGAGAGGAGGGTCCATTCCATCAGTTTGGGAAACTTTGAATTTTATTTTTGGTTTACGCTTTTGATAGTACACTGCAGTCCTTCAGATGACCTAAAGTTGGTCCTGAGCACACTGTTTCTTTACATTTATGGGGGAAACTGATGGTAACAACATCAAGTGTGAACATAGAATAATTCAATGTGATATCCCTCCTGGCTAATCAGAGGCCCTGGCAGACAGCCAGGTTGCCAGAAAAGCATTTATGCAAAAAAAAAACCTGGTGACATGTGTCTTGGAAAAGTGGCATTAGATCTGCTGTCAGTATGTAACAGAGAGAGAGACTGCAACTCATACAGGGTGTGAGTGGAAGGGAGCGAGTGGGGAGAAAAGACCAGAGAGTCAGGTAATTGAGAAGACACATTCTCTCCTCATGACCAACCTATCCATTTCTGAGAATAGGGGCTGCAAATATAGCATCCTGGATTGTCTCTGTTTGTCTGTCAATGTGTGTGTTTACTTAATATTCACACACACTCCTTCTCCTGGGGCTTGGTGTCACAGTCATTATCCTTCCATCGGAGACTGGCTGCAGCTTCCTGTGGAGACCAACCAAGCGTCTCCTTAATTGGCTGGTAAGGTCAGCATGCAGTTGACATGCACATTCCTGCTGTTTTCCCTTCCCCGCTTTTTGACATCTCCCTCTCCCACCCCCAATATATTTCCTAGAGGGGGGTGCAGCAGAAAGGAATTAGGAACTTGCTCCGAGAAATGAAACCTGCTCAGGGTGCAGCTTCTCAGCCAGAGATTCATTTACCAACTATGATCTGCTCTAAGCCCTTTGGGTGCCTCCATTTTAAACTGATGGAGAAAAACAATAGTCCTGCAGTAAGGGAGCTATTGAGCAGCAGAGTAGCTGCTAATGATTGCAGTATCATCACATTTAGAGGCATTGGGAACTCTATAATATCTTAAATGCAATTTATGCTTACAAATCAATACCCACCATTTCTCTGTTGTTTCCATACCACATGCTGTGTGTGATCTGAGTGTCTGAGAACCTTTCTGCAAACCTTGGGTACTAATCTCTTGATGGTATGTTGTGTTGCTTTCAAAACAGTAAAGGAAGAAAGCCTTTTACCATTTATAAATAGCCACAAAAAGTATAAGCAATTCTACAAAACGAATGATGTGCTTTTTAGAAAATGTGGTAGACTATTTAAAAAGCCAAAATTCCACCATATCTGTGCATATTTTCAGTTGCTAATTGTGACTGTATTGTTGGTAACTTCTGTTATTCTGAGAATTACCAGTGGGGACTCAAATATAACCTAGTGTCAGTCAAATATAAGGCTTAGGAGCAAAAGAATGCACAAGGAGAGAATGAAAAGAAAGAAAATCAGGGATGAAAAATCGTTGTCCAGGTTGGAGAGTAGAAGACTGACTCCAGAGAGAGCCTGGGGTGTCATTCAGGAGCATTGGTGCCATGCATCTCTCTTCAGCCAGAGTTTTATTATGGTCTTTAAAAAATAAAAATTGATAAGCATTGATTTCATGGCAGACACTTTCACACTCTAAAATACCACTAATGGTGACATGGGCAGTGACAAAGACAAAAGAGGAGTCAAGGTCCCGGGTGGTCCCCAAGCCAAATAATTACTTCAAATAATGCAAATAGTACTACCTACCTAAGGTCGTATGTTTCATCAAGAATGATTTAAAAAGGAGAAAAAGTAGACAAAAGAAAGATGGGATGATAGGAATAGAGAACTGAAAACTAAAAGGCTGTTTTATTCTTCTCACTATCCTTAAGATTCTGGAATTGGAACAATAGAGGCAGGACTGTGCAGTAATGTTGGAACTCCCTCCTTGAGGATAGAGGAGAGGAAGTCCAGATAACCTTTGCTTTCCTTCTTGGTTCACACACCAGATCCCTTAGTTTCCTTCGGTTTCTGTTCCTGTTCCCAGTTCATCTGGTCTGAGGGGGAGCTTTTTGGAGTAGTCCTGTTTCTTAACAAGAAATGCTCCTATGATTCTAACCCATGGCGGTTGTTGGGAGTCACTTGGACAGCACAGAGGGATTAGCATTGAAAAAACCCAGGGAGTTCTCATGTGCACTCAGAAGCGGGCACCCTGTGGGGGCCATGGACAGCATATCCCGTATGGAGTTGGTAGCCTCCAACTGCTGCCACCCATATTGGTTAAGGGACTGGTGGCCACTTGCTTCTGGGGGCCGAGGGCCCTTGCCTCCCAACTCCATCAGCTGGACTTGCGAAGATACTGTGTCCTGCTTATACAGTGTCAGGGTGGGGACTGAGAACTTTGCTGACATTCATTGGGGTGCAGCAATAGTACCCAGAAGGCCCAACTTGGGCATCCTTCACCAGGTACCCTCAGCTGCTCTGGCCCCAGGCACCAAGTATTTCTGTGGTTCAGATGGCAGACAATGCTGTATACAGGGTATCAGTGAGAAGCAGGGCATGCCAGCCCTCTGATACCCCAGGGAACACTCAGTTGGGAGATCCCTGAGGCTGTGTGCCCACTGCCTGTTAGAAACAAGGAAAGAAGGAAGTGGAATTTGACCTCCAGTTTGGGGCCTTTTGTCTGGTATAGCATGGTCAACACTCCTCCACTGGTTTATATGTAAAACCAGCAGAACTGGGTGGTTGTAGGATAGGATCGGTTGGAAGGTAATGTGTTGGAATGATAGCAGGGCACCAGTTCTGGACCAGGTTCTGGGCACAAATTGACCTTCGCAAAAAACCTGTGAGGAAGATGGAGTTGTCCCTCTGTCCCCTTCCATTAGAAGAGGAAGCTGGGCACAGAGAGTTAAGAAACTTTTCCAAATTTGCATGAGTATTAAGAAGTGGGAACGGAGATTGGAACTCAGGCTTGCTTGACACAGAATCTGTGGCTTCCTTACCATTTTGGGTAAGGATTTTTAAGAAGAGAAAGGTAGCTCCTTCACATGTTTAAAGATGACTTCTGTTACAGTAGATGGCCTGTTGACCTCAACAAGATATGTAAGGTCAGGAAATAGAAACAGTACTGAAGTTTATAGAATGAAGAGTGCAAGCCCCTCCTCGCTCTGTCTGCACTCCATCCTCCTAACTGCTGTCTCCGAAGGTAATCACTATTGATGATTTTCTTCTGAATTTATATGAAAATATGCATATTAACATATATTGATACATAGGCCCAGAAGTATAATCCTTTTTTTCTAAAACCTATACCAAAGATAGAATAGAATACTCTGCACACTAGAGGCAGGATAGCACTGTTGCAAACGTGGGCTCCACAGCCAGATGGCCTGGGTTCAAATTCTGCCTCTTCTGCTTACCATGTTTAAGGCACTGGGCTAGTTACCCTCCATGCTTCAGTTTTCTCATCTGCAGTATGGATTCTTCTGATTGAATCTGATAATCTTAATAACTTGGAACAATGGTTGCTACTTAATAAATACAGGATGAATACAAGCCATTAATACCCTGCATCCTGCTTTTTTAAAAAACTTAAGACAATGTGAGAGGTACATCAACCCTTATTTTTTCCCTTAAAAAAGAAATGAATGTAGCAAATTACCAAAATGTGTCCTATTGTCATCTTTCTGTTCTGCAGAACCTGGTTAGCACAAAACCGAGACACTGATTGTATACAGGTTAGGCTAGCATTTTATGGTAGGAATGAGACTTTAACTATACATGTGGTGCTTTGTACACAATACAGCTCTAATCCCAGGGACCACCCTTGCAAATGAAATCCATGTCAGTCTCTAGAGGAAAAAGGGAGTGTGAATGGATCTGAGTACACCTAAACCATTGTGGGGGAAATACTGTCAGCACCCCACCCCCTCTTCTGCTGAAGGTAGCAAACCATTCTTGCTACTTTATACTTTTAAAGCCTCCAGGTACATTTTATTTGATGTTTCAAGCCAGTCTGTGGTGCAGTTGGGCAGATATTATTAATTTGTTTTGCAAATAAGGACATCCAGTTTGAAAGTGATTCAGCAGACTTACTGACAGTCACATAGCCTTGTGGAGACCTGTAAGGATGCTTGATAGAGTATCATAAAGCCTGTCTTTTTGATCTGGCAGATAACCCTGTGAGCCACCCACTGTGGGAATGGTTTGCTACCTTCAGCTGAAGAGGGGGTGGGGTGGTGAAAGTATTTCCCCCACAGTGGCTTAGGTGTACTCAGATCCATTCACACTCCTTTTTTCCTGTAGAGAGTGACATGGATTTCATTTGCAGG